TGTATTTCCATCAAGAAAAATATCTTTTTGGCTCGGTGCCAAAACTTGAGGAGATGAAGCAAACATGCGGATCGTTGTTACTCTTTTCATCAAGTAATGTAGCATTGGTCAGAATAACTGGGAAAGTTGCCAGTTGTATAGTTGGAGAATCAGATTATGAGTTGTGGTTGAAAAAAACAGCTGCAATTCGTCGCTCATCAGCTTTTTTTGTTGAATTGAATGATATAGAAAAATAGGACTAAGTGTCATGTAGACATTTTACGAGGCATCCACAGTGTTTCATCCCTTAGCTGTAAACACAAACTGAGCTGTGCATCTGGGTGAGGTAGTGTTGGTGTAGTGGCGAATACGCTACAGTGCTACATTGGACTACTCGTGTTCGAAACTCGGCCGGGTCATTGGAATTATTGCAGAGTTACCAGCTATTCCCGGTATTCCAGCAGCCGGGAGTATCCTAGATCCTCTGCTAAATTATATGGTTGATTGTTTGAAAGTGTGCAATTTAACATATATTGTATCATTTCTAGGAGTTCAACAACATTTTGGCTTTTTATGTGCCTACTAGAAGAATGGAGCTAGAGAGGGAGGGGCTTGAAATCTTCGCGCAGAATTGTAATTGAAACATAAATTTTAAAGTAACTTAATACAAGTGAAAATGTTAATGTACCATAACATGTGTGTCATTGTATTAATGTGAATCCGCAAAAAATGCCTGTGTTTCTTCCCGAATATCCCGATCACTGTAGCAAGAAGTGGGAATCATCAGCCTTGCCCATCCACCTTTGCCTGCTTTTTATTTCTTCCAACTTTAAGATATTTTCCTATTATAACTTGTGCATGTCATAGTTTTTGCCATATGATGTTACGCAGTACATGCATTCTTCCAATAAGGCATTCGTTTAGTTAAAAAGAGCGGCAAAAAAAAGGTATATTTTGTGATTTTTAGAATAGCAAAAAATGGATTTTCGAGAAATGCACCACGGATCGGCTGCGTGAAGCAATACTGATGTATCTGCTTTTTCGCGTCAAAGAACCACGTGCAACCGAGCAATTTAAACTTCACATTTTATATTTGATCAACGACTGGGCGCATCATTGGTATGAAATTTCAGCTTCCTGGCTTTTTTTGTACGAAAGTTGATTGAGTGAAGATTTTTTCCCCATAGATCCTGGTGATTTTAATGAAAAGTAAATGAAGAAGAAAGCATCTTGATGTCTAATAACTTGTTAACTTTAACTTTTGCCGCATCAAAAAGTTATACCTTGTTTTTGTAAAAAATTCCGTTCTGTGAAATTCTCTTATACCTCGGAATTCTGAAACGATAGTTTTAATTTATAGTTTGGTTCTCCAACTGATATTCAACTGGAACTTTTCCATCATTCGCGATCTTTTATTTGCCACATTCTTGTCCCTCCAAAACTGATATTCCGTTAACTTTCCTAATTACTTGTATTAAATATTTTCTCTCCTTCTTTCTCTATCTTTTCCTTTCACTCATCCTTCTTGCAAATTAGTTACATGTCCTTTCAATACATGGCGGGTAGGAGGCTATACTGACTATTCCCACTCCTACTCGCATGCACAGTCCGGTCTGTGTTTACAGGTAAGGGATGAAACACAGAGACTGCATCGAAAAATATCACCCCACTACATTTGAAAGATAAAAGCAGTTTGCACCATAAAATAACACCTTACACATGGCCTGCGTACAATCCTGTTGTTCTGTTATTTCCTACTGTTCGTTTAAGTCATCGTGCCCAAAATGAGCACCTTTTAACTCGTTATGAATCTGTTTTTCTCCGTAGTAAACTGTAAAAATCACAGGCTTACTCTTGAAAATTTAAGCCAACGCAAGAAGTTGGATACGATTCGACAGATGCTGTCCCGTTATGTGCCACAACTCTATGCATTCACGGCTCACGGAGTCAAAGAGGCAACTGTAAATGAAAAATTGGAAAAACTGATTGGTGTTTGGGAAGGGCATAAATATTTCGATGACGGATGTTATAAGGTTTTTCATATATTCTCAGATTATTTTTTTTAATTAAACCCCCCCCCCCACCCCCCTCCTGCCCC